GTGTGCTCTTCCGATCTCCCCAAAACCCCAAAACCCCAGTGACAGAAATACTCTAAATAGAGATTTTCTCAATAATTCATAGCATTTTAATAAATTAATGGTAGAGATTTAAACGGATTACGTTTAGATTAACGAATAATAGAAAAATCAGAGAACGAAACCTTGGCTAACAATATTATCTGATATTCTAAAAGTCGGAATCCCCTGCTCTATAGCTATGAGCTAGTAAATCTTCATTGAAGTAATCAATTTGGGATTTGTTGGACATCTTGGGTCAGCTTCATTAGTTGCTGGTGTAGGTCTAGGAAACATGTACTTAAACACAACTGCATTGGCAGTTCTTATAGGATTGAATAATGGAGTCGCAACATTTGTTTCTCAAAGTTACGGATAAGGAAACATGAGACTCTGTGGATTGTATCTCAACAGAGGAAGAATTGTGGTGTTGCTTGCATTTTTAGTTATGCTACCAATTTTACTTATGGCTGAAGGGTTTTTTAAGTTAATCAATATGGATGCAGAATCATCTAAGTACGCTTAGGATTATGTCAAGATAATGATCCCATCCTTAATTTTTGCTTCTTAATTTGACATTACCAAGACATTCTTGAATTGCTTTGGAAGAACAAATATCTAAATGGTCATTTAATTGATAACTACTCCCTTGCATGCCCTTTGGTCATACATATTTGTTACTAGGTATGAACTTGGGCTATAGGGCACTGCAATAGCTACTATTACTACAACTTTGATAAATTCAGTAGCAATTACGCTATACGTAACCTTTTTCGTACCGGAATTGAAAGAGGCATGGTTTTTGCCCACTAGAGATTCTTTGAGAGGAATGGGATAATATCTGAAGATGGCTTTACCATCAATGCTGATGGTATGCCTTGAATGGTGGACATTTGAAATTCAAACATTCTTTGCCAGTTTTATTTCAGTTGAGGCTACAGGTTCTTAAGTGATTATCTTGAACATGATGTATATATATTTCTGTTCCACCATGGGACTGTAAGTTGCTGGATACTCTCTTATTGGATAATCTATAGGTTCTTAAGATATCCAACTTGCAAAATAATACAGAAAAATGATATTCATAATTGGCTCAGCATTTTCATTGATTTAGTGCTTTAGTTTATATATGCTTAGATTTGTCTATGCCAATTTATTTACTAATATTCTATCACTTAGAGATATAATCTCTGATACATTTAGAATAATTGCATTTGTTTAATTAGCAGACTGCACTCAGGGCTGGCTCTAAGGCATGATAAGAGGTTTAGGAAGATTATCTGAGGCAACATACGGCCAATTATTTTGTCTCTATTGTATTTGCTTACCTTTAGGATGGTTATTTGGAATTCATTTTAAAATGGGTCTTAGTGGATTATGGTGGGGAATGATGATTGGCTTATCCCTCTTGGCACTTTTTTATATTTACTTAGTCACTCTAAGATTTAACTGGGATGAAGTCGCTAAAGATGCCAAAATTAGAAGTGAAAGAGATTTATAAAAAGATGAAGATGATAAAATTCATTATAAAGCAGAGAATTTAGAGAAATTTGAGAATGATTTAAAGCAGCCCCTAATCAATTGACATGAATACATCGATCAAACCAATTTAAATTTAAATTTATTTTTTGATATAAAATTTTGACTGATTTTTAATGAACAATTTAGGTCTAATTTTGAATTATGGGGTTTTGGGGTTTTGGGG